AGGTGATAATGAAAGTAACAGCTTAGATCAATGAAAGAAAGAAAGTATGTTTGCGTAAGGTTTAATAACACTCCCGACGTATCTCGCAAATATCAGACGAGGGGAAATGAGGTGATACTAGTGGAGTCGTTTCTCAGTTGCTATGAAAACAACGGTAAAAGAACAGAGGAAATTTCTTGGTTGGTATTGAGAGATGCGGTGGAGCACGAAATTCAGATTGGTGACTACCGTGGCCAGGCATAAAACAGTGCTGCAGGTGTGCACATACCTTTGCGAAAATAATCCAGTTACATTTGTGTCATGTACAAACCATTCCCTGAATGTGGCTTGTGTTCATGAATTTTTTGTGACGGTTCATTATGTTAGATTTTAAGAGGAGAGACCGGCTATTCTCATCCTTTTTACTTCTAACTATTGCTGCTGTGTTTTGATTCAAGTCACAGGGAGAAGTAGCGAATGGCAGTAAAACCTAGATGCAGTAGTCGAGCAGACATTGTAAATGTTGTGGTGAAGAAATACGAGGAACTGGTCACTTCCCTGAAACATTTCACATATTAATGAGAAAATGCAACCACAAGATCAGATGCATCTTTACTTCTCACCTTGATAGTGTTGTTACCGTTCATTTTCTTTCTGCACCTTTGGAGATCTGTTCTCGCAGAAAGCATGAATGCATAGATATATCTAAACAAAAGCGGCTGGATCTGCGGCGAAGTTCTATCACCCTTCAATGTTAACAGTTGTCCTTCCTCAAAATAAAGTGACAATGACAAGGTAACGGATGACTCAAAGAAACTCTACGCTGATTTGAAGGTAAGCATGGAGTGTCTAATACGCTGAATGAAACGAATGGACGGAGAAGAACTGTTAGACATATCAATGAGATATTATTGAGTTAAGACAAGAAATGTTGTCTGTCATAGACAGTTCGACAAAAGGCGATCGAGTTCAGCAAATTCATGAATTTGCAAACAAATATGCTTTTCTTACACCGTTAAATCCGTTTGATAATAACTACGGTTGTTCGTAAAGCGAAGTTGAGGAAGATGGAGAAAACCGGGAATCCTTTGTCGAAAGTAGATTGCAGTATTTTGTGAAAGATCCAAGAAACGACAAAATTAATATATCTTCTGAAATTTTGAACTTCATGCGGAAATATCACTTGGAATCTGTTGTATATCTTTCCTACTCGAAGTATTAACACAACAACCTGTGAAATCGCATTCTCAAAACTCAATCTTACAACGAACTACCTGCAATCAACAATGAACCAGACAAGGCTCACGGATTGGCATTTATCCCCATAGAGAGGGAATTCACTAAAGGACTGAATTTAGTTGGTATTATCTATACCATTACCTCAAGTAATGCAAGAAAATCTAACTCTAAATTTTGTTCAGGAGTAATATAACAATGCACGCACCTACATTTATGACAGTACTCTACATCTGATCTTTGTTGGTATATGAGTCCAAATATATAAGGTCTGTTCGCAATCGTGTGTATTTACAGATTTGCAACTGCCAGGGGGACGGCAGTATGATGTCCACCCCGAGCGGCAAAAGTTGTTGCTATGCCAATGCCCGTGGGATTGATGCCCAATTGACCAGGTATGCCATGTAAAGGTCGGTGTAGGAGACAATGGCTTTACATCCTATCATATCGTCTATTGCGGGTTGACCTCACGATGACACACTGGATACCAGTACCGTTGCCAGATACCTAGACGGTCGGCTGATAACGATGAAGAAGTTGCACGCGGTTGCCGAGTTTACGAGCACACTGCAGAATACAAGGCGACAGGAATCGTTTGTCATTCGGTTGTTGCATTTCCAGACAAAAGGACGGTACTCGGTGTGGATTGACGAGACTAATATCAATGTCTTCTGCGCACGCACTCGAGGCCGTTTACTACGCGGGAGCGGCGCAAAGTGTACGGTGACAAACAATCCTGACCAAAATTTGCACGTTGTCGGAGTCATAACAAAAGATGTGTTGGTTGCTTTTCCCGTGATACGTGGGAGTTTCCACAAACAAAGGTGCGCACAGTCGCTGCGACCGAGGCTAGATGCCAGCTGTTCGGATTTTCTCGAACGGTATTTGTTGATTGGTGACAATGCCCCGTGCCACGCAAATTTGGAAACCATTTTCCAAGTGGAACTCTACCAAGCAGGGAGGATGTTGCGATTAGCAACTTACTCTCCGGTGCTTAACCCAGTCAAGGTAATCTGGAGTGTAATCAATAGCTATGTGATGCAAACGATGCGGAGAAGGTATTCGGAAATGCTCCGAGGGGATCTTCATGGTGCAATCAACAAAACTGAGTGGCGCATTCGTTTCCTGGAGCAGGTGATCTCGGAGGGAAATTCATGTGTCACACGGTGAGACTGTGAGAAATCGTGCAGCACGTGACGGCTAATTACGAACGTGTAATTCATATGGCAGATTTTAAGTCTTTTATGTTACTTTTACTTTGTAATTTAAACCGATCATTTTTTACTCCATCGCCATGTATTTCCGAGTACTTCTTTTAGAATTGAAGACCTTTTCAAAGGAAGAAGGGGGTTGGTCGCTGATGCTCTGCTGACGAGGTCGCTGCGTCTTACCACGAACTCTGTCCAAACGTTGTCAAGGGAACTGTTTTTGAGAATTTCCAAGCAGATGCCACGACCAGTTCCTTCAAGATGTGGTAGCGTGTTATGGTAGGAGTTAGTTCCGAGTGTTCGGATGGATACTCCTCATAACAAACATAGTGGAACATTAGTACTACATGGTCATTGGGATCCAATGGACTATCCATCAATAAGTTGCTGTCCATACTCACTTCATTCGTGAAGACAAGATCCAATATGGAAGGGTTGTTTGCTGTGCTGAAACTGATGGACGCGGTGATATGATTGTTTATTGGAATAGTAGTGATAAGTTCATACAACTCTGCTTCGAACTGTTCATTAGGTGATGCCGATACCTCCAGATTATGTAGATGGAAGTCCCCGGAGATAAGAATGTACCTAGTGCGCGTTACCCTGTTCAATGCACGTTTCAAGCAGGAATCCATTTCCGGAGTGGATATTGGGGGCGGTACACAAGAGCTTCGTGGTGTCCTAGTCGAAAAAGGCAACAGAATAAGTCGATAACATGAGTTTCCAGATCCTCAACTATTGCACATTGCAGGTAGCTGCGGTAGTAGAGAACATCCCACCTCCTCTGCTGGGGTGGTCATTCCGGATGAGTGGCATTCCTGCTACCTCAACCTCAGCATCAGCCACTTTATGGTGCAACAAAGTTTCGGTACTGGAACTTAGGTCCCAAGCATTCTCAATCTGACATAGCCGGAGTCCGATAAGTTTACTGAGGAACGTTAGGGTAGTAGTGTATTTACATGAAAGTTCTTCAGATTTAAGCAATGTTTCGGAGGTTGCGCAGCTCATACGTGAAGTTTTGCCGATCAATGAGTGAACGGCGGCCAATCGATTTTTCCATATGTACTTGGTGACAGGTATGTGTTATCCATCGTCTACGCAGTCAGTCCAACATCTGACCTTCTACGTATAGCGTAAGGTGTCTCGTCAAATTCGTCTCCAACAGGTGGTATGGGCCAACTAGACACCCTACCGGTGGATTGTTCTTTTATAGGTCTTAACGCTTTTGGTTCTTTGCGTGGCACACCATCTCTAAGCGGTATATTGCTGACAGCACTCAGCCAGGGCTTAGATGGTAGCCTGCAACGAACCATGTACAGCTTTTAGCGGCCGTGCTAACTTGTGTTTTTACTGTAGGACCACCTTCAACCCTCCCGCGTACACCCTTTGTAGTTCGGTGAGGTACAAAGCCGTGACACCGCTTTCGCTAGCCCATCATCCAATCAGAGTGTTTCATGAAAATAACACCATTGTTCCTTATCCTGCGTTGTTATTTCATGCTCATCGTTTGTTTCCGTTTCAGAAACTCTATGAAGAAGAATAATTTTGCTTTAAGTTTCCTTCTGGTAGTCTGTAGAATTGAAGACGGATAGCACAGGTTGTTCAGATGGCGGTTGAACTGTTTGCTGAGCTTGGCAAGTTTGCTGCAAACATTTCCTCACCAATGGAGGTGAGCTCATCAGTTCGTAGTTGTGGCGTACACTAGCGTAGAGTAGCGTAGAGGAGCCTCGGTGAGAGCGCACTCTCACTTACATCGGGTCCAATCTACAGGTTTACACACGCGATAAGTTATTTAAAACATACAACGGATATGTGAATAAATAGGGCCTTTGTGTTCATTTGGTCGTTAAAAGGTTCACGCCAGCCTATACACCATCTCACCCCACCACAAGATTTTGCTATGCTCATGAAAGCTTAAAACAATTTGTGTCAGGTTTTCAGATGCGTAGTTTAGTCATAGCGATTTAAAGCTGACAATTTCTATCCATGCTGTTTGATTGAGCACACAAAACACTTGATCAGAAATCTCAGGCCAAACTCTGACAGATCTTTGTTGAACGCAAACTTATGGTAACTCTGTCTCCAGTGAACCTCACCTTAGTAGACCACAAGTGCACATTGGTAAAATTGTAACCAGGAAACTGTAATAGATTGTTAATTGTCCCGTAACCCCATACACTGCGATACTGTCAACTTAGAAGTTTGATAGAAGAACTGCGTCGGGTTTTTGTTCATTCTAGTGTAACCAACGTCAACCACTAAGAGAAAACAAGACAAGCAGCAGTGAAGTAAACATCAATATACATAAACATTAGTTGGTAAGCCATAACAAATAAAATCATATGAAGGTACAAATACAGGTGTGTGTTATTTGTGGTCAATCACATATTACCATCAGATAATCACTTATTAATCGCTTGCATCATCCTGAGTTCCCACGTGTAAAATTAGTGCCTACTCGTTGGTTGACAACGAGGAGATCGAAAAGTATATTCTCTCACATATCGCACGTATAATAGTAGTTTGTTTGTGGAATCAATATATAAGTCCTACAGCATGGAATCTCCTTCGTTTTAGGTAAAACGAGCTATGACGTCAAACTTCAACTAAAATTCGTTGGTAGAAATCTCGTGGTAACGAAGGCTGACAGGTCGGGTGTGACGTCGAACGGTTCCTGGATCTTCATCAGCTGGCCTTCCAATGTCAAACCCATTGTGTGGTTTGGAACTGCCTCCACTTTTGAATATCCTATCCCTCCTACTTGCGACTTGATAACTGCAAGTGTCTTTGTTCTGACAGAAAATGGTGTTTCCGATGTCAGTGGAAATACTGTCATCAGGGGTCTACCTGAAGGTGAGCACAACATATCTAACAAGAGTATAAATTCTTTGCTTCATCCAATTACGGTGTCGATACACGTACCGTTTTTGTGTTAATATTGGACCTAAAACCCATGTAACGAACAATGATCAGTGATTTTAGACGGGTTAAGAAGTACTGCTTTAAATGCCCCGAGTGGTGTTGTGATGGGGTTATAGAAAAAGATAAGCAAAAGCATTTAGCAATTTTTCTGTCAACAGATTGGACTTATTGTTTGTAGTGCAATAGCCCTACGCTCTGTGCAACCTCACAATTTCAACAGAATATAAATAATGAATTTAATGTATGTCAACGGATTAGGACTGATAGATAACGCTAAGTAACAGAATGCAAGTGGCTGTGTGTGTGTCATGCATCCGACTTTTAATATGACTAGTGTATGTGTGGAAACGACTGATTTGGGGAGAGTATTCCCTGGATGACATGCATAGATGGAAAAGAAGTTTCCGCTGCACTCCTGACGTCAGCACATTTTTGTTAGTTTCATGGAGTGAATACTTAATCCAGCGCTACTTCCCAGTCACCGTAAAGAGCTGCACACACTATCCGGATTTTTAATATTCTATTATGCCACTATCAGTTTGCCTCGTAAACCGCGACACCATTTGCTGAATACTTCCGAGCGTTTCATTCTTTACTCCTATGGTAGATGGCGCATCTCAGTAGTGTATTTGGGACCCCGACCTTTAGGCTGCTCTAAACGTCGTGTTTTAGCCATACAAGCTATCATGTATTTGCTCACGCTTAATTGAACAGATTATGGTTTGACCACTGACGTCCTTTACCTAGGTCGCACTGTCCTATATGCTGGTCGGCCTTCACCTGAATTCTGCGACATATCTTGAGGACGTCGGCAGGCAGTAAGAATCCGGAATCAATGCTCGTACGAGTGTAGTAATACGCATATGGGATTACAGTTAGCGTATGCTGTTTAACGTCTTGTCTCGATTAGTGAGAACTGTTAAGCATACAAGCTTACTCGGTTTCCATTTAATATCGGTGCACTCGCATGGTCGATTCGGAGAGAAAGTGAGAGTGTCAGATAGGAGGTGGGTGTGAATCGAGTATTCTACCCGGAGTCATCTTCATCTGAGACTGTATTGCAGTGAATTTTTGTCGAGTATTTTGAAACTGGTCTGTATATGTAGCAGTCAGACGCCGCAGTTCCTTCCCGCATTAGTTTTGTCACAAGATCGTCGGTGCACTTGGGAGGAAGTTTTCACCTATGTATATGGGGATAGCAATTATCACTTCAACTCCTTACTTCTGAATTCGTGTTTTCACTTGTTGTTACGTCTCCTTTCGGTAAAACAATGGTTTTCAGTCGAAGCATAGTGTATATCGAATTACATGTTACTTTGTCAAATGACATGCATACATGAAAGCGGAAGGCTGCAACCAGGCCTGATAAATGCTGCACCAAATCCGTGACAATCTAGAGCAAGTTACACAAGGTCTGGTGGTTCATATGCTCACACACGATTATGAATTGTAGGAAGATAGAGGTATTCGCGTTTCAGATATACCCAGTGGATCGGATTAGCTTTCAAAGAGAAAGAGTGGATAGTCTGAACAAGAACTCAATTCAGTATGTGAGCCTAACGCCCCAGTACGTCAGCGTTAAGTTTACTGCATACCGAACTATTTAGGGACTTGAAAGCAAGGGCCTTCCTCTCTCAAACCAATTTGGATAGTGCAACAATGGATTTGCTATGCATACAAAGCAAAGAATTAACAAATCATGTAGATAGAGTGCAACCAACAACTAAATTCACCAAGAAGAATTTTACGCGTGGCAGTATACTTACCCTGTGCTTTACATGTTTACACCATTTTGTTGCTTTATATCGTGTCTCAAAATCTTTTAGTTAAGTCATGTAATGCAAATTCTGTAACTCGTCGTGAGCTTGAAATTTAAATCCGATTAATGCAGAAGCGCTAATGAAAGAATTTAGAGGAGGGTTCCAAGACTTTCACACATAAAGGGAAAAGTTCCGGCGGCATTCCAACCGTCTATACTCTGTGGTCAAATACAAATGAGGTCTCGATGTGGGATTAGGACTTAGTTTCAATACGTGTCGGGGTGCTTGGTCTGGATACTTAAGGACCCAATACACCAATATAGCATCAGATCGTAGACTACAATAGTGTCTGCTGAAAGCTCCAGTTTTCTTCGGTTCAAGTTGGTAACTATGATAAAGCAAGCGCTTAACATTTTCGCAACTTGTTGTAGAGTCTCCAGAGTAGGCAAGTCGGGTTTTTGCCAAGGGTGCCACATATGAATGGCGTAATTCAAATGTGATAAACGTACACGTTGAGCAATTTTTTCGACTGTGAGATCAAATCGGTCAACTGATCTCCCCAGGAGACCCATAAGTTGGTTAGGCGTTTCATTGCTTTCTCGGCCTGTCTGAAATATCCGAGATTCTCCTGCAAGAGCACCCCAAGGTCTATGTCATGAGAAGCGCACTGCAAAACATCTTCACCTAGTTAAACTTTGTCAATGATCGGATATCGTGTGTTCATTAACGTACACTTGACATGGTTAAACTCATGCATGTTCTGAGCCGACTACTCGTAAGCCTTGTTAAAATCACCATCCAGTGCTATGTGTTTGTCTACTCTCTTGGTTTTCAACCAAATCCTGAAATCTTTAGCATAGAGTAAAAAGCTTAACGTCAACAAACCCGTGACATAGTTTATGAACACGAAGAATAATTGTGGTTCTAGTATTGAACATTGAGGGACGCCACTGAATCTCTATCTGGTCAGATAAGACCCTACGAACTCGCACATTCAAACGGCGTTGGAATAGGAATGAATGTATTCTGACCAGAATCGGGTCAACGATCCCATGGTCATGAAGCTCATAAATAAGAATGCGGTGACTTCACCGATCATTCGCTTTGAAGGAATCGAGGTCGATCGTGATGACTGCTTCCCCAACACCGACCGATTCCGTCCAGCTAGCGCGGGCTAACCAAGTTTGGTGGAACATTGGCGATTGTGGCGGAATCCATGCGGCTCCTGGACGAGGATATTGCACCTTTCCAAGTATCCCATGAATGTTTCTGCGAAAGCATATTCCATGAATTTAAAAAGATCCGGTAGTAGGGTAACTGAGACTCAGTTTGTGGGTTCAGCATAAACGAGGTTGACCATTCCATGAGTTCGCAAAGCAGAAACCTGTACGTCTTTGAGAACGCGTTGGATAAATTAAGACAACGTTTCAGTCAAGCTCGTGCTAGGTGACTTCAATGAGTTAAAGCGTAAGTTTTCCGCGCCGGGAGTACTATGCTCATGCACTGACAGGAACGTTTTCAGCATATCCGTGAAGTTTACGTGACTAAAGCTTTATTGTGGGGTAATCAGTATAAGAATATGAGATTACAAGTGAATTGGTGGCTAAGATTATTGGCTGGTTTTTGTGCACTTTGCGCTTGCCCACGCTGTACTTTGGCATTCTTGAGAAGGAAGCAACTGGGACGTCGTCCAACAGCAGTGTCTCACAAATTTACTACTAATGCTGCTGGTCCGGTGAATCTGCTTCACATTCATCACGCGCATGAGACTGGTGATGTTGTGGCAAAAGCCATGCTAGGTACGGTGTATAAGCAGTACTATTCCAAATTGTGTTTCGTTCGTTTTCGCTTTTTACGGAACTTCTGGAAAAATACAATTCAACTAGGATCCGTTATGGAGACGAGCTGTTGAAACTAAGACAGCTTCCACCTCATCAACGGAGTTTGGTACTAATACGAAGAAGCATGTCTTCACCATAGTGCTTAGAATTCGGGTGATACCCTTAAGATTCGTAGGCGTAGCCTGAATACTGAGCATGTGGCTTGTTGTGTTTCAATGGCTCCAATAGTCCGTCTGCTTTCCTTTCATTGAATTTGATGTTGGTTCTGGAAGGTTAGTGTATATTATGGATAGGACATCCCGTTTTTTCCGATTGTCTTTCAAAGGATTATGTGTCATAGTTGGAAGATCGAGCGATTTTCTACGTACCAGTGCAGCATGGTCTCTCATATTTTTCTTGGGTTTAGCAGCTGAAACTGTAGCTGCTGATTGTTTAGTACCGTTTTATGCAATCAAGGCACAGCTGTCACCGTTACTGGCTTGCTCCCTGAGTTTCGGCAAGCCAAATGGGAGAAAGTGGGAGTACAAGAAATGGTTGTAACTTTGCCAGCGGTGAAGTTTTCGGGAACAACTGGGCGTCTTGGAGAATTGGAAAGTTGGTTGCTTATCATGTTTAAATTTATCAATTTCTTGGTGAAACGCTTACAGTGAAGTTTCTTGGAGAGGTCTGTGTCATACATTTGATCACATCCGTTATTAGTGAACCAAGTTTATTGCTCATTATTTGATCGACCATTTCTCCGGGCATTTATTAGGCCTCGGACAATGCAACTACGGTCTTAACTGTTGAAGTGATATACCACTTCACGTGGGACCGAAATAAACTTGACCAGCTGTTTTGCAACCTCACCGCGCTTGGCCTCATGTTCGTATATTTTAGTGGTAAAATGGCAGAGCAGTTAGAACAGAAATCGTATTTTGACTATTCTATTACACGTTCCACAAATGCCTGTGGACACATCAAATCGCCAAATCGCGTTCGCTAGGTCACCTGAACTTGGATTTAATGATAAGTTCACTCGTGCACTTTAGTCAATAGATAGAACGCTTGTCTCGGCGCCAAGGTCAGGCTGCGAGACGGGTGGCAGTGTCACTGTCTCTCTCGGTCGCATTCAGCGATCAGTCGTCTTGTGGTTGTGCGGACAAGCCCGCAAGTAGGCGCGGCTTCTTTGGTTTGACTTTCATCAGTCGACGGAAAAAAGAGAACACAGAAAAGCACTGGATTTATAGCAGTGTTTAGTAAAGGACCGAATTAAACTCCCCTGTGGCGTTTTTGTGCTGCAACTTGCAGAGATGGTAGCAAAATCGTTCAAAAGCCACCAGGTTCTTTTTCCAAAATTATTTCCGATCAGTGTTGAAGTGAGAAAGTTGCGCGCCTAGGTTTCGGCAAAGATTGTGCCAAAACTGTGAACTGGAGTAATTATATGCCTCGCGCAACTTTGTTCCAACTGGTGGTGTATACTCAGCAGTGCTTGTCAAACTAGTTCGAATGGGCCTATTTAGCAAAGGTTGTGACGAGAATTGGATTGGTAACTCCAGACGAAGTAAAAGCCCAGGTAGAGTGCGGCCGTACGGCAACCAGTGACGCAGTGAACCCCTCTTTCCCTTTCTATCTTCTCACTTCAGCTTTTATTTATTTTCAACACTTCCTCTAAGCCTTGGTGTTATCCTTTACTATTGCAGCATTCCTGTTAACTTTTGCAGTTTGCTAGTTTTTTCTTTTTTTCTTTAGGTGACTGGCACAACACTGGTGGCTAGTTCGGATATGTGAGCAGGAGTTGGGTTGGTTAGAATGTAATTGGGATGTATTGATTTAGTTCACAAATATTTAAATGCATCTTTCTAATTGCTGACTCCGAAGAGGAGAACGCAAGGGAGATTTCTACCAGCCGGTCTCACTTGGACTTGTGCATAAGAATAGGAAACATGAACTATAAATCTCAACACATATGAATTACATTTTTGGATGTTTGTGAGAAGTGTAAAGTTTGTAGAAAGTAGAAGTCACGATTAAAATTCACACAGAATAATGTGCCTCGACGGGGAATCGAACCCCGGTCCACGAATTTCCGGCCCGCTGCTCTACCACTGAGCTACCGAGGGCTGACGATTAGGTGCGCAAATTTTAACACATGACTTCTGCTTGGTGCGCGACGTATTGCCAATGGGCTCACAGTACCTGTCCTGGTGTTGCAGATTGGCTCACTCACCCGTCACTTCTCAATGGGCCGAAGTATCTGTCCTTCTAATGTCCAAAGGGCGATGGTAGATTAATTTTGGGATGTTTGTGAGAAGTGTAAAGTTTGCGTGAATTTTAATCGTGACTTCTACTTTCTACAAACTTTACACTTCTCACAGACATCCCAAAATTAATCTACCATCGCCCTTTGGACATTAGAAGAACAGATACTTCGGCCCATTGAGAAGTGACGGGTGAGTGAGCCAATCTGCAACACCAGGACAGGTACTGTGAGCCCATTGGCAATACATCGCGCGCCAAGCAGAAGCCATGTGTTAAAATTTGCGCACCTAATCGTCAGTCCTCGGTAGCTCAGTGGTAGAGCAGCGGGCCGGAAATTCGTGGACCGGGGTTCGATTCCCCGTCGAGGCACATTATTGTTCGTGAATTTTAATCGTGAGTTCTATTTTCTACAAACATAATAATTACGCCTAGACCGAAGCCGAATGTTCTGCACAAGCTTGAAGGATGAAAGTAACAGCATGGACCACATATTTCATGATAGTTTAAGCCAGTAATTACAACCACTTACTAGAATCATGTTCGCTTAGCGACTTGTTGGCCTCGGCCCGATGGGAATCGTTGCATTTCCGCTAGTGGTTATGCACATCTTCAGGTGCGCATGATTCCAGATATTGAATGCTTGGTCTTACCGTGATAATGCATAGGTACATTTTATTTTAGATGCCCTTCTCTACTAAAGCCAAATTACCTGTTCTCTTTTTCAAACCTCTAACAGAATGACTTTGTTTAATTTCGCTTGCATCTAACCTCCCCAAAACTGCTTCTGTAGCTCCAAGAAAACCGGTTGACCTGCAGGTGATATTCAACTATAGCATTTTTGGCCATTCGATCTCATGGAAAATGCCAAGAACAGAAACTCGGAATTGTCTGCTTATATATGAGTTAAATCAGAGGCAGGAAAACGAAAAAGTCTGGCACTCAATATGCAACACAACCAACGAGGAATATCACATTCCATTGCTCCGCCCGAACACAAACTATGAATATCGCGTGAGGGCACTGGTTGGGGAGGACAGGATCCCTGGTCCGTATTCTACGCCTGTCTCAAACAGAACTGGCCACTTACTGCGGAGTACGTTTCGCCTATTTCAGTTTTTCTGCCGGATAACTGTTGAAAAGTTCCTGTTTGGGATGCGGAAAAATCTGTATACATTAAACCATTGTGTGCAGGAATATTTCATTAGTGATTCTTCTGCCGTAGGACAGTAAATTTAGCAGTAATTTGTTCTGTATCCGCAGGCCACCTCTACTTCAAGTGACTGATCATCAGGACTTCAGCCAACCTGATACTATCTGATGCTTACATTGTACTTAGATATCAAGGACTACCTTGTTTAAGATGTTTAGGTAGAAATGATCACCGCAAGACTAAAACAATCTCTTAGTGTTTATCTAATAATCTGAATCGCAGGATAATTAGCTGTCCGAGTAGCGATCGTTGCAGCGGGTTAGAAGTGAAATTGGGGGTACAATAAACTTGTGTTTTGCATAGTCATAGTGTTTTCGCATTTTAGCGAACCGACTCCATTACGTCTACAACGAATCTCTGTGATGCGTTTCCATGTCGAATCCAGTCTAGATTATGAGTTAAAGTAGCTTACCAGCCACCCCCAATAGCTCAGTTTGTATGCGTTCTGAGCGACGGCTAACCAAATGGCATCTATAAGCGAAAAACCTATATTAAAGTATCACGTAGTGAGCAAGTAACAGCAACATAATCTGAGCGGCCTCGCGATAGTTCAACTTTAGGGTTACGAATTCGGCTTTAACTGTTATATTCGGTCTCAATATGTTTGCGTGCGATTAAGCCAGATACAACAAAACCATGAGTGCCCAAGGACAGCAATATTTCGTCTGCTGGTGCCTATAGTTATTAGTGAAGACAGTGTGCGTAACAGTATAATGTGGCTTGTACACGCTGTGCTGAAGGTGACTATTTTTCTATGATACTTCAACATGCTACACGCAATGGAAATTCTTTGTCGATCATCACAATGAAGATGCAAAGTCTCATGATTTTGTTTAGAGTTAAACAATTTGGTTTGTTATCTCTATTTTCACACCACTGGTTTTACGGAATTGCGTCCATTATCAGTTTCTGCTCTTCGGTGCTATCAAAGCGGTGGAGTGTTTGGAGCCTACGACTATGTAGCGATCCCAGCTGTCTACAAAGTGCTAATTGAAGCACCCAGCCTGTTTGTGCTCATTACTCAGGTTAAACGTGAACGTTGACATTTAGCGGCTATGGCCCAAAGAGAACAGCACGCATAATGTGTATACGCGAACTCAGGCCAAACGCAGAAGCCACCTGAAATTTGTGTCTACTCATCTTCATTCACACAGATCCAACAGAAGAACAATCCGGTTGATTACCTCTATCCGACTATTTTAGTTTTTTCAGCTACTTGTAACCCTTCATCAGTGAAACTACGCGTCTGTAGAAAATCCATGAAATGGAGTGTCGCCTCATTGCATTCAAAATTCAGTGCACCTTAAGGGGCTGCCTGGATGTCACTCACTGAGCACAGCACTCGACGGTCCAACAAAGCATCGACTCTGGAAACACTTTATTTCAGGCCAGAAAGTCAACATCTCTATTGTTTTATTCATGCTCCAGGTGCGAACGACGCCGAACAGTTTTGCTTCCCTTATGACGTTCCTTATGCTTGAAACATACAAGGTACCATTCTATTGATGAGTAGTAGGGGATTTTTATGTTTTTGTGCAGATTCGTCGCACTTAGACACAGCCAGACAACCACCACCCATCCAAGAAAGCGTTGGACGGCCGTTTTGTTTCATTGGGACTCCTCAGTAGCGCGCACCTGTCGAATCCTGCCTTATTCGAACCTACGACCTTATTAAGGTGCAGAGCATTTGGCTAGCCTGAGTCCAATTACGACGAACTTACACATAAACCAAAAACTCGCTACTTACATATAATCAGTAGTCGCCTTAACAGCTTATATGCCACCTCGATTGGTGGTGGCTTGCAAAGGAAGCTGTTGCTGTGGTGGCCAACGCTGTCCTCTGCACCATCATAACATGCAAGACATTGGTGGCTGACGGCGTTAAACCGCAGTTAGGTACCAGTCATGGCGGTCCGCTACCGTCACCCATGGCCCAGTGATATAATTCGCTGACTCGCAAGAGTAAGGCAGTGGGTTCGAAGCCGGCAGGATTCGGCGGGTGTGCGCTACTGACGAGTCCCAAAAGGACGAAAAGGCCGTCTAGCGCTTTCCTGGATAGGTGGTGATTGTCTGCCTTAGTCTAACTGCGACGAATCTACACAAAAATGGTACCTTTCACTTGAAGCATAGTCTAAATAACAATTACTTTGAGTATCCAAACCTGCACCTAGCACTCGAACGGAAGAATGAATACCAGAAAACATTGCCTTCGTTTTATATCGTACGAGGAATTGTGATCTTGCTGCTGCATTCGTTAGTCACGTATTACCTACGCATTTTGAACTCCCATGCCCATCGTTCCAAATAATTTCAGCGCTTAGATGGTGGTGCTCAAGAGTACATACACACTATGTTCACCAATTTCTCCTTTGAGGCACCTATCAGTGGGTCGAGAGGTATGAATTAGTGTTAGGTGGATCGTTTTCAACCGATCGTATTTACCGGAGTCATGCATTGTGAGTACCAGTTATGTGACACCATCTGCACCAAACAAATATTACCCATGTCCGCCGGTTAAATGTAGGTAATTGTTATTCACTACATGGGGATGGAGTGTCAGGTGGATAATAACAGTTATATTTATTTAACTGCTATAACCTTCTGACTAAATTGGAAAGTACACTTTTAAATGGAAAGAGGTGAAATTCATACGACCTGAAAGATCTACTGGTTCATCAACCTAACTGGAATAACGCATATTAACCAGTCTTGTTTGGCGGTTACAAGAATCACAATGCATATTCTCGGGTTCACAATACATCGCCCCTTCCGCGTGATCAACATCCTACGAGTACAGTATAGTCCAAAAGTTAGGCAGATATACGAACCACATCTTTAAAAATAGCCAGTTTTTCCGTTCAAAGCTCCAAATGCATATAGAATATTCGTGGCTTTTTAACGCAAAACTCCGTGTATGGATGAAAACACATTTTCACCAAAATAGCTGAGGGTTAAAGGTTAGTAGTGTGGTCATGAGAAAGATTAACAATAGAATTCGTACGTATGGATAATTGCTTCTCAATTATAATAAAAAGTTTCTAAACATTGTGACGTTCTAATAAGATGTAGTGAAAGACGTAAGTTTTCATTTATGAACAGCTAGGCGGGGCCTTCAAATTCGGCAGTGCTTTTTGATTCCTGTCCACCAAAGTAATCAACCAACATGTTCACATTCAATATGTTATTAAACCCATAGATTAAATTTATCAGATTTTATTGTGCTCATGGCACCATGACTAAATAAATCGCAAAATTAAAGAAACGCGTTTTCATTAATATTTTCCTAGTCAGACTGCTCTAAACAGATAAAAAGGTAGTAAAATAAAAAGAAGTAGTTGCACAAAGAAGAAGGAGGGTTGCCCTTAGAAGGAAAAGACTACGACGAACAGAAATAAAAACGTGCAACTGTGAAAATAACCGTTCCCTTCTGAGAAAAAAAGTAATTACAACAAGCTGTGGCACATACCGTCAAATTATTATATTATGCTACAACGAACCTGACTGTACGATGATATGGAAGATACAGTAATGAGAGATAAAGATATTAGAGTGCACTGCGCTCAAAGTAAATGCACGGCTTGTCCAGCAAGTGTGGACTGAAAGATGTATGATGTCAATCAAATTCAATAAGATGCGCGTCTCTACGAAAGACAGATAATTTGCAATAGTTATTGGGCTAGCTAATCGGAGCCGTGTTTAACCGTAAAGCACACACGTGTTTGCCTCTGGCAGGAATTTATCTCTGCTCCAAGATGTGGGCTCCGATGACTGGTAGCCCATAGGTCAATGATGCGCAGTAGGCAAGCTGGGCACCTGGTTGGGGACAGACAGGCAAAAATCGCTGTTCGGACATCAGTTAGATTTGCCATATAAGCTTAGGCACACCGTAGGCTTCCTTTCTTAAATGGATCACTGGAACGCGTGGATACACCTACCTCGGTGAATTTTATGCAACCGTGGGTTACGTCAAGTCGCTGCTGGTCAGCGCGTGCTTATTCTTCCATTATATGGTGAGTGCCAATTTTAATGCAGCTAAAACCGCGCAATGATACACCAGCATAACCTCGGGAACACGGCCTGTAAACGGCCGGTACGTGTTAGGACTGGTGAAGAAGTTCGGAAAAACTGGTAGTGTGTGCAATACCAGAAATACGGGACAGCCTCGCACCACAATGGATGAGAGTTCAGTTAGTGCTGTTATCCGAGAAGTAGCCGAAAGGGCGTACCTCAGCATCCGTACAATCGCTCTAAATTGTGACACCACCCGTTACGCAGTTCAGCGGATTTTGAAAGAAAGAAAATTTCGTCGGTATGGTGCACGTCAAGTGCAAGTGTTGAACCCATGCGATCCGGAGAAGCGGCTTGCATTTTGCAGCTGGTTCTTGAATCAAGTAGATATTCACTCCATTCTTTTCACCGATGAGGCAATATGTCATTTGCACGAAATACAGAAGCAGCACTTTTGGGCGACATCAAATCCACTACGCTGCCGAGCTTCCCGTATGCAACGTAGTCCTAATCTAATGGTTTGGGCTGGACTAACTGGTCAAAGCTCGTCTGAGCATTTTTTCCAGTAATGTAACTGTTAGGTTGCTGTTTTAATCTATTAATTTCACATCTTTCCTAGCATCGTCGTATGAAGGAATGCTGTAGACCTGCGTACTTCCACTGCTGCAGGCTGAGGAGTTTCCAGCACAATTTGGTGGCAACATCAAGGCGCACCTGCTCTTTATGCACAAATGGTGCATGATGGTCTTAACGAGATGTTCTGTCAACGGTGGAACGGTCGTGGAGGTCCAATGGATTGGCCTGCCGGGTCACCAGATTTAAACCTCTTAGATTTTTTCCTATGGGGTAATTCGCAATGATGAGTGTACAAGACA